AAAAAAAAGAAAAAAAGAAGAGAGAGACCCCGGGAAGGTAAGTGTAAAGCCAGATTCCAGCAGGTCACAAGCCGTATTAAAGCTAATCGTGTGGCAGCCCCGGGGGAGCGGCGCGGGGCGGCGGGGAAGGCACGGGCGGCTCAGCAGGCGGGGCGCAGCGGCACCTGGAGCAGGATGACCTGCCGGTTCTCCGAGGGGTGGCACTTGTTGATGTGCCGGGTGAGGCCGGGAGAGCTATAGAAGGTGGCCGGGCAGTACTTGCAGGGGAAGACCTGGGCGGCGTGCAGGAGGCGCAGGTGCCTCTCCTGGCTGCTCTTGCTGGGGAAGGTCTCCCCGCAGACGGGGCAGAGGCGGCACTCGGCGGCGGGCAGCTCCTCGGCGCTGGGYTCCGGGGCCGGTGCGGGTGCCGGGGCTGGCGTGGGTGCCGGTGTGGCGTGCCCCAGCAGGTGCTTGCGCAGGTAGGCTTGCCGGCGGAACCGCTTGGCACAGCGCGGACACTCGAAGAGCCCCTCCTCGGAGCCCGCCTCCGAGGCTCCGCCGGGGCTCGGTGTGTCCCGCTCGCTGCCACTCCCGCCGCTCGCCTCCTTCGGCGTCTCCTCCGCCGGAGCCGGGGCCGCGGCCGGTGCCCGGCCCGCCTCGGGGCCGCTCTTGGTGGCGGGCGGGCGCGGTTTGTGCCAGCGGCGGTGGGAGGCAAGGTTGGCGGGGCAGGAGAACACCTTGTCGCACTCGGGGCAGCGGTACTCCACCCGGACGATGCGGGAGCAGCGGTGCTGCGCCAGCGCGAAGGGGTCCCCGTACTCCTCCTTGCAGAGCTGRCAGATGAACTCGCCCAGAGGACGGGCGCAGCCGCCCCGTGCCTTGGCCGGCGCCTCCACCGGGCCCTCCTTGATGCGCAGCCCTAACACGGGGGACGTGGTCACCTCGTCCTCGAAGGTCAGCTTGCGGATCGCCTTCGTCTTCTTACTCGACGGGGCTTTCTGCCTCCCGGGTTCGGATGCGCCCGGCGGGCGCTTGGCGGGCAGCGGGCGACCCGAGGCGGGCGGCGCGGCCGGGGCGGGCGGCGCGGGGGCTCCGCCGGGGCCGGGGTGGGCGGCGGGAGGCTCGGCGTGGCCAGCAGCGGCCCAGAGCTTGAGGTCAGCCGGGGCGAAGAGGATCGGGTCCATGGTGCTGGGCACGGCCGGCGCGGGGAAGGACTCTGCCGAGACGGGCGAGCCCAGGCTGAAGCCGCGCTCCARGTACTTGTCCCTGCTGACGGGCCGCGTAGGGCTGTACAGCGCCTGCACGGCGGCATCGGGCGTCCCGAACGGCACCGGCGGCGGCGAGTCCCGCGGCGGGGGCGGCGGC